ATGAGTTATTGAAAATATTATACTATTTTTTTTAAAATAAATACATTTTAAGAATAAAGACATACAACAAATTCAATAAATATTGTGACAAACTTTTAAAAGTTTTGAAATACAACAAATAATAAATGTATGATGATTACATGTCCCGTGGGACTCCATTATGATAAAAATTGGGATTTTCTTCTTCTTCTTCTTCATCATCAACAAGAAACTCATCTGGGTTCACGGGGGGGTCTTCAGGGTCAACTCGGGTTCCTCCTCGGGGTGCTCCTCGGGGTCCTCCTCGGGGTGCTCCTCGGCCTCCGTGGCTCGGCGTGCCACTACCTCCTCCGGATGACCTCGCAAAATCAAAGGACATAGAACCGAAATTCGGGGAGATCATAGGCATGCCACCATATCCGGAGTTGGGGAAAAATCCCATACCGCCCATGTGCTGAACTTGAGGAGTTTGCTCAGGGTGGAATACGTACGGGGGAGGAAAAGGCTGTTGCGGAGGCTGGAATCCGGCACGCATGTACCGTTCCATCTCCTCCAACCGGGCTTTTGTAGCAGCATCTGCTTTCCGCTGCTCCTCCCATCGCCGTTCGTGCTCCTCCAGTTCACGCTGCATTGTGGCAATACGGGGATCTTCTCCCCGCCTTGACCGAGAAGAGGAAGCGCCGGTGCTTCGATCATACAAAATCCGTTGCCCCTCGGCCCCTAAGCACGGAACCCGGCCCTTGTAAACCCCGGCCGCCTCAATGGCCGCCTCATCATCCGCATCGGAATCGAGGTCGTCCTCCTGGGTCAAGCCTCGTGCCGCACGCTGCCTGTCGAGGGATTCGTTGTACTTCGTCTGCATTTTCAAAAAGATTTTTTAAATGCTACATACTTAGATTTTAAATGTTACTAAATAACAAAATATGATGTTACATACTTCGAAGTCAGCGAGGCGGGGTGGCAAATCGGCTTCAGATTCCTCGCCGTGCTTCGTCCAGCAATGCTTGACGAGCCGGAGAACATCAACCTTCTTCTTCTCAGGACCAGCCTAAATGGTGTGAAAAAGACTTAAATTAAATTTTTTATAATAAAGGAATGTGATGTTGTAAGGTTTTTTGAATAGCACTTACAAGAGTTTCTTTATGGGCATTCTGAGATTTACGACCTCCGTGCCACTGCATCTCCAAGGCCTTCTCGGACATCCGGTTTTTCTTACCGGATTCACTTCTGGCCAAGAATTTCGGATCAGAAGACCAGTGGCGACAAAGGTTGGACCACACTTCATCCGAAACCCATCTAGGCTTTTTCCCACTTTTTCGCGCCCGTTTAAAAGTGGCGCGAAGCCAGGTCGAAATCCTAGCATTGTAGGCTTTAAGAATATCGGCACCGTGTGCGTGAGTCCAACGATAGCGAGCCTTTATTAAAACAAATTGGATTAATTAATCACCAGGTATATATTAGGCCAATACAATCAGGAAGGGAACATTCATTTATTTTTACCTTGAACAGGTTCCACCATAGTTCGCGAACCTTGGGGTCAACATCTGACAGTGTGGCCCAAGTGCCAAGAAAGTGTCCTCCGATGATGTTTTTGATGCCCGTGAACACTTGTTCGTCACTTAAAAAAATTAATAGTATTTATTTATATAAGATTTGGTTTGATTATTTAACATTATATAAAATTATTGAAAATAAGGTTTTTCATAACTACTTACAAAAGAACTTCTGCAGGCGTCACCCAAACAGCTCCATCATTGTTGCGCTCCGCTTCGGACATAGGCGCATGGTTAGGGCGGGGAGCCGAGGTCGATTGTTCGTTGCTCATCTAAAATATATTAATTTATTTTGTTTTTTGTTAGAACGCTTATAAAAGTTTGAGGTGTGCTTACTAAAGGTCCATTAAAGTTTGGGGTATATTTATTATTTTTTACTATAAAAATTTATACAAGTATTATTAATTGAAAATGTGTATAGCATATTAAACTATTTTTAGTTTAATATGAGGGGTCCATATTTTTTCATAATAAGTTCTTAAATAATTTGGTAATAAATTGCACTTGGAGGTAACATGTTAAACTTTTTGCAAAGTTTACATGAGAGGAGATCATTTTTTTATGTTTTAGATATATCATTTTAAAATAAATTTAAAACAGTTTGTTAAATCAAGTTTTACAAAAAACTATTTTTAAAAATAATCTGTTTAATAAAAGAGTTTTTAAAACAGTTGTTATTAAAACAGTTTTTACTAAAACAATTTTTATTAAAACAGTTTTTATAAAAACAGTTATTATAAATACAGTTTTTATAAAAACACTTTATATTAAAACAGTTTTTATAAATACTGTTTTTTAATAAATACAGTTATTATAAATACAGTTTTTATAAAAACAGTTATTATAAATACAGTTTTTATAAATACTGTTTTACAAAAATCTGTTTAATAAAACATTTTATATAAAACAGTTTGTATATATCAATTTTTGTAAAACCGGTTTTTTTAGATAAATTATAAAAACAGTTTATATTAAAACAGTTTGTATAAAAACAGTTTTTATTAAAAACAGTTTTTATAAAAACAGTTTTTATTAGATTAATTTTAAAAACAGTTTATATAAAAACAGTTTGTATAAAAACAGTTTTTATAAACACAGTTTTAATAAAAACAGTTTTCATAAAAACACTTTTTATTAAAACTGTTTAATAAAAACTTTTTATAAACACAGTTTTAATAAAAACAGTTTTTATAAACACAGTTTTAATAAAAACAGTTTTCATAAAAAAACTTTTTATAAAAACTGTTTTTTACAAAAATCTGTTTAATAAAACATTTTATATAAAACAGTTTATATATATCAATTTTTGTAAAAACAGTTTTTTTTAGATAAATTATAAAAACAGTTTATATTAAAACAGTTTGTATAAAAACAGTTTTTATAAACACAGTTTTTATAAAAACACTTTTTATTAAAACAGTTTTTACAAAAATTTGTTTTTGTAAAATTTGTTTTTATAAAATTTGTTTATAAAAATTTGTAAAATTAGAATTAAACATGTTAAGTTTGTGAAAGCTTAACATGAGGGGGCAATTTTTTTTTTAATATTTCGGGTTAACCATTGAGAGGCATGCATATCACACACTAATCATATATATTAAATATTATTAATCATGCATAAGAACATATACTACACATATAATAATTTAAATCATTTAAACATAATTATCATGCATACAAAACATATAAATCATATCATGCATATGAAACATATAAACTAAAACAGTGTTTTGCCAAGTTTTTTTTGCATACGAAAAAATCTACATATATTAACATATAAATAATCTACATTTAACATATATTAATCATGCATACGAAACATATAAAATGAAATTAACATGCAAAACTACAAATCATGCATATAATAAATCATACATATAACTTTTGAAGATTACAAAATGATATGAAACTAAAATTCGTGCATCTTATCATGCATTTGAGTATACAATCATGCATTTTTGGAATTTTAATCAAATATTGGAATTTTAATCGAATAAGATGAACAAACACATAACCTTGACTGAAGAAGGGCCGACGGAAGAAGGTGGACGAAGGCGGCCGGAGGACGACGGCGGACGGCTAGGCGGCGGACGGCGGCGGACGGCTAGGCGGCGACGGCGGACAGCTAGGCGGCTGACGGCGGACGGCTAGGCGGCGGCGGCACTGTCTAAACTGGAAGAGAGGGAAGAGAGAAGGAAGAGGAAGTTAGGGTTTGGGAGTTGGGTGCGTAGGTTTTTAAAAAAAACGCTAAGTGTTCGTTTTATATAAGGGTTTAGTCACGGTCATAGTCACGGTCAGGACCGTGACTAAACCCTTCGTAAATGCCGAAGTCAGTCCGCCGGTCAGAGTCGCCATTAATCAGAATAGTCACGGTCAGAACCGTGACTATGACCGTGACTATTTTCAAATTTTGAAAATAGTCACGGTCATAGTCACGGTTCTGACCGTGACTATTATTGTCAGCGCCACTCTGACCGGCGGACTGACTTCGACATTTACGAAGGGTTTAGTCACGGTCCTGACCGTGACTAAGACCGTGACAACTTGAAATTTTTTAGTATAAATAATCTTTCTCCGGCCCAAGACTGAACTGTAAAAAAAAATGGCTAATAGAGGTCCAATTGACTGGGATTCGATGTGTAGAGATATGAAACGACTTAAGCTGATTACAGAGCTTATGGAGCCGAAAACCGTGGAAGCATACGAGAGAATCAAGGAGTTGATGTCTAGACCCCTTGAAAGTTTTGGCGATTATAAAGATGAAGAATCCGACTCGTTGGGCAAGTCAAAAGCAAGAAATTTGTGTCGGATGCTTCAACGTGCACAAGAAGTTTCAGAGTATATGGACCCGATCAACGAAGAAGCTCGAATGAAAATTCAGGAGTTGTGGGCTAGGCCTCTTGAAAGTTTCCGATTGAGGAATGAATAATGTTAGTTAGGCTAATGTAATAAATAAATCTATGTTAGTTGTTTAATAAATAATATGTGACAATTTCATTGTGTGTTTTGTATTTATCTTTGAAATTTGATAAATAAATATCTGTTAGTTGTTTATTAATATCTAAATTTATTATAATATTCAGATTAGTAAAAGTAGATTACTGTTTTTTTAATTTTCGAATTTTGTTAATTTTCGAATAGACTTAGAATTATTAAAATTAATTTTCGAATTTCGAATTATTAAAAATTATTAAAATAAATTTTCGAATTTAGAAAAATCAAAAATAATATTTGAATTTTCGAATTTGAAAATAAAAGAATATAATATAGAGTAATTTCATATTTTGTATTGGGTAAATTTTAATTTTCAAACTTTGAATTGTGAAAAATTTTATTTTGAATTTATAATATGGATATAAAAAACTTGTTGTGGTTGAATTAATATGGAGTAATTTTTTGTTCATAAATAATAATGATAAAGATAGAAAAAAATTCAAATATTGTTGGAGTAATATAATGATGAAGAAATCTGCACAAATATTAGAAGTCAATAAAATTGAAATTACAACAGCACAATTATTCGCTATCAGAATCGTCATTTTCTACATATACAGTATCTTCTTCTGTATCTGAACCGTCTATCCATTCACCTTCTTCCTGATATTGAGCATTTTGTTGTGCTACATACATTTCCTCAATTTCGCGCTCAGATGGAATGGTTGGGTCCGGAAGGTGCGTTTCTGGCATGACTTCAACACGTCCGCCATTTGGATCACTTAATTGGAGGTTATAGTTGACCGTCTCAACAATAGGCGGAGGTTGGAAAAATTGTTGCTGAAAAGCATCTAGATCAACGTCCTTGTGTTGAGTTTGTGATTTTATTTTGTTCGGACGGACAGGACATGCACACACCCAAGGATTCTGTGTCCGCCTTGTTGAAGGATATTCTGCATAATAAATCTGCGCTGCTTGTTGGGCGAGTATGAAAGGCTCATTTTTTGGGTACACACGAGAGAGGTTGACGTCAATCATATTATACTTCGGATTTTTGCGCACGCCACGTGTGGGGTCGACCCATGTGCAACGGAACAGAACGCATGTCAATTTTTTCGCACAAGAAGGCATCTCAAGTTCCAGAATCTCCTGCAGGACACCAAAAAAACTGGTTTCCGAGTTATCATAACCGATGGTCGGGACACATAACCCGCTGTTCGTTGTTGGTCGGCCCTCTCCGTAATCGGCTGTGTGATATGTGTAACCGTTTATCACATATTGCCGCCACACTTTGGCACTGGCACCTGGGCCCCACGCTAATGATACTAACAAAGGGTCGACAATCCCACGACTATTGATCTGTAAATATAAACATAATAATAACATTAGGTAAACATTAGGTAATATATATAATTAATGTGTGTGTATATATACCTGATACTTGTACCAATTTACAAAATCAGAGTCCACCAACGCATCTATTTCATTCTCAGGAAAGGCTGATAAAGAAGCTCGGAATTCACTGTGAAGTCAAAAATAAAAAAAAAAAACTATAAATTAACTACAAATTTAATTTATAAGTATTACAATTATAACTACAAATTTAACTTACTGATAAAACGGTGAGATTTCTGGACAATTCATGAGGATATAAGTATGCGCAATTTGCAATTCCCCACCCAGGATGTATCGTTGTGTCGCAGCACCTTTACCTCTGCCTGGGTAATTGAAGATGGAAACTACATTTTCATATAAATCCTCGCCAATGTCATCGTTCCGGGCAGGTCTCTTCCTTCTGGTGATGACTTCACGCTCGAAGTAAAAAGACGAGAACGTTGAGATTTCTTGTTGAAGATACGCTTGACAAATTGAAGCCTCAACGTGTGCCTTGTTGGTCACTTTCTTTTTCAGCTCTCCTAGAAATCTGCAATAATGCAATAACAGCACAATTAATAGTTATTGTGAAATAAATAATCTTTTTTTAAATGAAATTGTGACTAACCTTTCAAATCTGTACATCCACCGATAGAAGACGGGCCCAGCAGTCAAAGCCTCATACGGAAGATGTATAATGAGATGTTCCATTGCATCGAAAAACGATGGTGGCATTATTTTTTCCAGATTACACATCAGAATGGGAACAGACTCTTGTAGTCTCCGGAGGGATGCCGCATCCAAAACGCTGGAACATATCGATTGAAACAACAAACTGATTTCAGTCATGCAGGACCATACGTGTTCAGGGAGCATCTCTTTTAGTGCAATTGGTAGAAGTCTTTGCATTATTACATGAGCATCGTGAGTTTTCATGCTCGTCGTCGTGGTAAGTTTGTTCATGTCTACGCATCTAGACAAGTTGGAGCAGTAGCCATCTGGAAACTTCTGAGACGCAAGCCATTTTAATATTGCTGCCTTTTGTGGTTCTGTGACCTGGTAGACTGCTTTTGGAACTTCCTTGCCCTGATATTCTAGATCAACAGAAAGTTCGGGTCTATCACACCAAATAGTCATATCTTTCCTAGCTGCAAGACCGTCTTTAGTTTTGCCTTTCAAATCCATCACCGTGTTAAATATATTGTCAAAGACGTTCTTCTCGGTGTGCATGACATCTAAATTGTGACGGATGAGAAGGTTTTTCCAATAAGGCAACTCCCAGAATATGCTCCTCTTTGTCCACTTATGGGTATCACAATACCCATATGGCTCTTGGTTTGGCTCTTCCATAGCCGTAGGGAAACGTCGAACCCGGTTATAAATTTCTTCACCGGTCAATCTCGGGGGTGGGCTCTCTCGAACCGCTCTGCCTCTAATGAAAGACTTCTTGTCCTTTCGATATCGGTGCCTTTCCGGGAGAAACTTGCGGTGACAATCAAAGTAACTTCCTTTTTTGCTGTAACTGAGCCAGTTGGCACCTGATTTCTCCATGCATATCGGACATCCCATCAGACCGTGTGTGCTCCATCCCGAAAGCATGCCATAGGCAGGGAAGTCGCTAATGGTCCAAATGATGGCAGCTTTCATGATAAACATTTTATCTGATGAAACATCATAAGTTGGTGTCCCAACGGCCCACAGTTCTTTCATCTCCTCGATAAGGGGTTGGAGATAAATGTCTATCTTTCGCCCAGGATCCTTGGAACCCGGACAAATTAAAGACAAAAAGATGAAATGACTTTTCATGCACATGTCGGGAGGGAGATTGTAAGGTGTTAACATGACCGGCCAACATGAATAGTTCTTGCCAAACCTGCCAAAAGGAGCAAATCCATCTGAGCACAATCCCAGTCGCACATTTCGTGGCTCCATAGCAAACTGAGGATGACAGCGGTCAAAGTGTCTCCAGGCTTCACAGTCCGAAGGGTGAGCCATCATACCCTCGTTGGTTTCGTGCTCAACATGCCATGTCATGTGTTTCGCAGTAGCAGTCGAAGCGTACATCCTTTGCAGTCGAGGAGCTATTGGGAGGTAATACAGTTTAGACAGTGCAGACCTATGTCGTGGTTTCTTTTTATTTTGACGAACAGGTTTGTATCTGTCTCCACCACAGAACTTGCAGAACTCAAGTGCCTCATCCTCCTTCCAGAACAACATACATCCTTCCGGGCACGCATCAATTTCAACACAAGGTAGCCCCAACTTAGACATTAACTGCTTCATGTGGTAATATGAATCGGGAAGGGTATGATCTCGCGGTAGCATCCCTCCTACTGACTGCAAGACTCTATTCATGCAAGTTTCAGGGAGACTGTATTCGGCTTTTATGTTCATGAACTCAGTAACAGCGGATAGCTGAGAGTATCCCTCACAATCAGCATACAGAGGTTGGTCGACAGCTTTTAGAACATCCTGAAATCTCTCAGCCAAACCTTCATCCACATAAGGTTGATAAAATGTCGGATTTTCATCCGCATCTGGTTGATACGAGGTTGAGGCTTCAGGGGGGTCGTTAGGTGGTTGTGGGGGGTTGAATTGAGACGGTACACCGTATGCGTCATATACCATTTGTTGGTCCCACCTCATTTCAGCACGGTCTCCCCACGCACTCATCTCTGGAGGGACGTAACGAGACGAACCTACCGTTTGTGGTATAACAGATGGATCCAAAGGTTCGCCGTGAGAAGTCCAATTATAATAATTGGGAACAAAACCGACCGCGTACAAATCATACCCAACTTCGTGTGGGTCTTTAAATTTGAGATTTTTACACTTTGAACATGGACATCTTATTTTATCACCACTCATATAAGCCGGATGTTCAAGTGCAAATTCAATAAATTCTCCGACTCCCTCGAGAAAATTTGATTGCATTCCGTACAATACCGCATCTTTATCATACATCCAACTTCTATTTTTTTTATACATTATGCCTGAATATTATAATAAAAAATTAGATGAAATGCAATGCACACAATTTTAAGTAATTTATTTCACTAAATATAATCAACTAATTTTCACTTTTTTTAAATGAAATGCACAGAATTCACATCTTAGTTATGCACAATATATATGTCCCCTAATGCACAATAATGCAGATAATTTCACTATATTAAACATACGTTTAATTAAATCTAACTAATTCATTTAGTTAAATTTAACTAAATTTAACTAGTTCATTCCGTCCCCTTTTAATGCATCACTACGTTTAAACTTACGTTTAGCTACCTAATTTAACTTAATTAACACATCAATAGCTACGTTCAAACCTACGTTTAGCAAACGAATTTTAATTAAATTATTTTTGTAAACCTACGTTTAAACCTACACTAAATTATTACGTTAATGACATTTAATCTTATTAGTAATACACAATTAACAATTCACTAAATTAAATAATATGACCAAATTCAACCCAATAATATAACAATTCACTAAAGTTTAACTAATTCTAATTTATGACATTACTACGCTTATAGTTAAAACATGTTGTTAATTAATTAACAACCTCACTAATTTAATAGTTTTAATAATTTAAATTGAACCAACTAATTCTAAATAAAAATTATAATTCAAATAACATACCTTATCTGCATAAACAGGGAAAATGATAGAAGATAGACTACATCCTTCGATCTACGGATACTGTATATACTGGGAATGAATTGGTGTGGTTCTGTTGAATGAATGAGCTGCTCCTGCATATATAAAAAATTTAGTCACGGACTTAGTCACGGATTTGTCCGTCACTAAGCAAAACCGTGTCCAACACGCGTCCAACACGTGTTAATTACGTGTAAATGACGTGTTAATCAACATAGTCACGGAACTAGTCACGGATATGGCCGTGACTACAATTATCCGTACATAATGCCGTTGCGAATTAACCAAGGGAGTTGAAAAAAATTAAATTTTAATTATAGTCACGGGCATAGTCACGGATTTGGCCGTGACTAAATCATCGGAATCAAAAAAACTGCGCCGGAAACGGGAATTGGCCTATCGGAGAAATTAAGTCACGGTCATGGACCGTGACTAATGTTAGTCACGGTCAAAGTCACGGCCCTGACCGTGACTATTTTTTTTTTAAAAATTCCGTGACAAATCCGTGACTAGACCGTGACTAAACTAGTCACGGACGAAATCCGTGACTAAAATCCGTGACTATAACGCTGTTTTTTTGTAGTGTTTGTTGAATAAAAGTTCATAGGGACTCTTATGATTTAAGAGTGGTGTAGGCAATCGATTGATGAGATATCCAGCTGTCAGAACGCACTCTCCCCAAAACTCAATGGGTAATTGGGCATGGAAGCGGAGTGCTCGTGCGACATTTAAAATATGTCTATGTTTCCTCTCTACCCTTCCATTTTGTTATGGGGTATAAACACAAGAGGTTTGAAAAATGACTCCTTTTTCCAAAAAATACCCCCTTAAACTGAGAAATTCTCCGCCATTGTCACTACGTACAACCTTAACATTTTTATTGAATTGGCGAGTAGTCATGGCGAAGAAATTTTTAAGTACATTTTGTACCTCACTTTTTTCACGTATCAAATGTACCCAGACAGCACGGGAAAAATCATCCACAATAGTAAAAAAATACCGTGCGCCACACGTGGCCGGAAAACGATAAACGCCCCAAATATCACAGTGAATCAATTCAAATGGTTCAACAGCTTTAGCAGTATTAACAGAGAACACGTCTCGTGTTTGTTTAGCCCTCAAACAAGCATCACACGTGTTATTATTATTAATTGATAATTTGCTCAAAGCTGGAATAGAATGCATTACTGTCAAGGACGGGTGTCCTAACCGCGAATGCCATAGCTCGCCATCCTCATCTGTAGTCACTGAATAGGCCAATAGTGGTTCCAAACTGTGAAAATAGCACACCCCCCCTTTCCGTTTACCTGCTCCAATCGGCTTCTTCGAAGTTTCATCCTGTATCATACAAATATCATTAGTAAAAAATACAACACATTTCAAATCATCAATTAATCGTGCTATTGATATAAGGTTGCACTTAAGCCCTGGAACATGAAGAACATTTTTTATAATTAATTTTGGGTTTAAGTTCACGTTTCCCATGCTTGTTGCATGTGTGGTTTCACCATTCGGCAAGCTCACTGGAAGAGGATTTATTCTCCTTGTATCCTTCATGAGTTGCATGTAGCCTGTCATATGATGTGAAGCTCCGGAATCAAGAAGCCAATCTACCATGTCACCGTTATTTGATCCAAGACCGTTGAGTGAAGCAACTTCCTTTATCATCATGTTTGTCACAGGCGGAATTCGTTCTTCCACGAGTTGTACGCCACTGCTCATGTTATTTGCTCCAAGTGTGTTGACCGCCGAAGCAGTTTTGTCGGTCGTCATATTCATCGTAGGCTGAAATCCTTTTCCAGGGACCGTTCATAACCGCTCTGATACCATATTAAAAGAGTTTAAATTGGAAAAGGAATAAATAGATCGATATGTTATTGATCGTGTGTAAAGAAACCATACAAGTGTAAATATATAGCAAAGCTACGTATCCTACTAGTCTAATGCTAAGAAAGGAAGAAATATTTATGAAAGGAATAAAATATACATAATTAATCCACTAGCTGCTCTCCTTAATGCCTTATTTTATGCACACACGTAACGCATGCATAATTTCCATAAGTGTATGCCTGGTAGATTCTAGAAATGTATACACTAACAATTAAACCCTATGAGTTCTAAACCCAGGATTTCTACTTTAAACAATTTAAAGCTACTCTCGAGCTGAAACTATGTTTAGAACACCGATCGACTTGGCCGGGTCAACCCGGAAACCGGTGATACTAAAACCCGATTCAATATGTTAAAAAACCAGTAAATAATAAAACTCGGGAAAACCCGGTCCGGATCCAAAAAATCAAGGTTTTGATTTAAAAAAAAAAGATTAGGATTTTTTATTTTTTTTTAAACCCA